GGGCAGCGCAGGCGTGGGCAGGGAGGCCAGAGGGGGCCTTGCTTAACCTGCATCTCCTTCTGTCGGCTCTCTTTCAGCCTTAAAAACAGGACACACACACTTCCTCTTGTTCCTCTGGGTGGAGCATAATGAAATCTGGGAGCAGAAGAGGGGCCCCCCCGCCAGCGCCACGGCCCTGTCCACCGGCTTCCTTGCCGTCCCCTGAAGGTACACAGGACAGTCTGAACGTCTGTTCTGTCCTCTGCTGTTGGACCTCCCTGAGTGTGTGTGTGTGTGTGTGTGTGTGTGTGTGTGTGTGTGTGTGTTTAATCTATTCTGATATAATTATTTTTACTTTTTAAAAAAAAATATTTTTATTGATTTCAGAGAGGAAGGAAGAGGGAGAGAGAGAGAGAAACATCCATGATGAGAGAGAATCATGGATCGGCTGCCTCCTGCACGCCCCCCACTGGAGATCAAGCCCACAACCCGGGCATGTGCCCTTGACCAGAATCGAACCTGGGACCTTTCGGTTCGCAGGCCGACACTCTATCCATGGAGCCAAACCAGCTAGGGCATTTTTACTTTTTATAACCACAAAAGTAATATATGTCCATTGTAGAGGGTTTGGAAAATAGTGATTAATACAAAATTGTTTTTTCTTTTATCCTCACCTGAGGGTATTTTTTCCTTTGATCTTTAGAGAGAGTGGAAGGAAGGGAACAGGGGAGAGAGGGGGAGCGAGAGAAACATCGATGTGACAGAGACACATCGACTGGTTGTCTCCCGCACGTGCCCGGACAGGGACCAGGGATTGAACCTGCAACCGAGGTACATGCCCTTGACTGGGAATCTAACCTGTGACCCTTTGGTCCACGGGCCGACACTCTAACCACTGAGCCAAACAGGCCAGGGCTCCCTGAGTCTTGTTTTTATCTTACTCATAAAATGGGGACAGACAACAGCCCCTGCCATAATTCGGGAAAGTCAAATGAAATAGAATAACAAACACGTAACGGCAGTAAATCCCACGTGTGTGTGTTATGTGCATTCATATCCATTAAAACATATATACATACTCTGTGTCCCCTCCGCGTGGAGCCCGGGGTGCCCCTGCCCTTGGCTCAGGTTCTCCTGGCGAGGACAGCTGCCTGGGGCCGGCCTCTCT